TGTTTTTTTAAGTTATTTTTTTTTACAAGAATTGTTAAGTGTCTTTTCTTTTGGTTTGTGTCCATCAAGTACCACATAAATAAAAAAAAGTATATTTTTGCAAAGCATGTAATTCACTGGATTATCCAAATGTAAACATTACTACATGGATCAAAAAACTATATTGTGATATACTGTATATAGCATTATAGTGACATGAACATATTATGAACATGAAAATTTTAATCGATCTGAACTGTAATGTTGAGACAATGTGGTTGCCTGTCTGTCCAGGTCTCGAGCTCACCTTTTACAGTGGGGTGTATGGGACATGTTTAGGGGCCATGACTCAATTTGGACATGACGCCAAGGGTCTTATCGGCCTCTCTGGAATTTTGATTGGTGTTGGTGAAATACTTGGTAAGTCAGTGCATTACAACCATTGTGCTTAAGTTCTCTGTGAACATGGCAAATGTAATAAACTGTTCTCTCTGCTTAACTAGGAGGAGGAGTATTTGGGATTCTGGATAAGTGTAATCGTTTCGGCAGAAACCCGGTGGTGTTTTTGGGGCTGTTTACCCATATTGTGGCATTCTACCTCATCTTCCTCAACATAGCCAGTGATGCTCCCGTGGCCCCAGAGGAAGGCACACAAATGCAGGCTTTTATCCAACCCAGGTAAGATACAACAGTTACAGTACTGGACTTTCCAACAAGGATGAGCATTGAGAATAGAGTCATACATAAAGATGCTCTAGCTGTATATTAACCCTTTTCTGGCTTGTTCTGTCAGTGTGACTGTGGCACTGATATGCAGTTTCCTGCTGGGTCTGGGTGATAGTTGTTTCAACACTCAGCTCATCAGCATTGTGGGCTTCTTGTTCCGGGACGACAGTGCCTCAGCATTTGCTGTCTTTAAATTTGTACAGGTTTGAACCTTCCTTTTGTTAAAGTGTTTTAATTGTTATCATCAGAAGTCATTACATTTTTTGATTTAAAAATCCTATGGAAACATGGCTTCATGAAACATGGCTTCACGGAGTCATATTTCACCCAAATATATATATATATATATATATATATAAACGTAATAAGTAACTTAGATTTTGCTTTAAAAAAGTAAATTTTTGCATTATGAAATGTTTTTAAAAAAGTTGCATGATACTTTCTTTTTTTTCCCCATTTCCATTTGTCTTAATTAGGTTTTTAACAGTATTTTTTAAAAATCAGAATACATTTTAAATTAATGGCACAATACATATTCAATATGTCTTTGCAGATATATATTGTCTAAAATATATTTTGTGGCATGAACATAATGGTCCTAAAAAGAACCCTATAGAGATTATTGGCACCTTAAGCTAATTTTAAGAAGTTTCTTTCTTTCCTTTTTGATTTTGGGGTGATCATTTGTTCATGTTGTTGGGGTTTTATGAGATTCACCCATTTACTTGAAAACATTTGAGAAAAATGTATTAAATATATTTTGGGGGGAAAAAAAATTATAGTAAATCTATATTCTTTGCAGGAATATATTTGTATTTGACAGTTTCACCTTGTCCTAAGTGGTCACCCCTCATGTAAATAAGA